CACCACCACCCCAACTAAAACCCTACCTATCACATACCCTTTCTGCTCCCCCTGGATGATGAGGCCTTCCATAGGTTGTCATCAGTGTCTAGTGTATCCTTTGGGATAGGGCCTAGGCCCATTTGCTCCAGATTTCTAAGGGTTAAAAGTACCATCCTTTGGGGAGAGTGTGAGACCAGAGGCTGCCCCCGCCCCTTGAGGAGCACCCAGACATTGGCATTCATGGATCCAGTACCAGGTGGACAGGAAGATGGCAAACCCCTTGATATCATCACAGCTCTTGTTTCCTCCGTACTATGGACTCTAGCTTGGCAGAATCCACAGTAAACAGAAAAGGGCAGGCCTTAGTTCTTGCTTGGTTGTGAACTGTTGGTGGCATTTCACATCCCCACTTACTTCGTGAAGATCTGCCAGTGTCCAGCACTGGTGGTTGCTCCTTCTGCTCTCAGTGTGGGATGGGTTCTGGAGAATTCTCACTAGTTCTTGCCCTCAGAAACTCATATACTAGAGTTTGTCTTCAGGTGGATGTACTGTGACTCTCAGCTGAGCACATGGATGGCCTTCTTTGTGACTGTGACACTCTTTGGTCAGGGTTGGAGCAATTAGGATCAGTGTCACCCACCTTCCACAGGCACATACACACACCATGAGATTGACCAGGCGGGGAAAGGAGTATTTCACCAATGCTGTTGTGTACCAGGAGTTTACATAGGTGACCACATCCTTCCTTCCGTACATTTACTGTCTTATCGAGTGTTTTCCTTTTGTCCAAGAAAGAAACTGAGATAGAAAGGCCAAATAGCTTTGGTTTTCATTTTGTCCACATTGCAAGCAGTGGTCTTTTCCAGCGTTCTTTCCCAAGGCTTCACCATCTCAGCATCTTCTAACTATTGCCGGGGTCCAAAATAAAATCCATCACTGCCAAGGTGGCCCGCTAAAGCCAGTTTAGAAGTACTGATAGTTGGGGGGGGGGGGATGGAGAAGCCGGAATGAGGCAATACTCTGTCACTCACTTCCCCCAATGCCAGCACTAGAAATACTGATGTTTGACATTTCCTTATACAGCCTAATGGATGGCTTTTATGAATTCCCTCCCTCATTCCCTCCCTCCCTCTTTCCTCCTCTGTGATGATGGGAGACACTTTATAGTAATAATAAAATATTTAGGCATATGTTTGTTTTTATGTAGTGCAGTTTTTTGTGTTTTTTTTTTTTTTAAACTGGGACTTAAACAAGATACATTAAAAAACAGTTTCCTGACTGAATTTTTAGGACTCACAACTTCGCCAAAGTACAGCGTACAGCTTACATCAGCCTCAGGGAAACAAGGAACACGGGACGGAACGGAATGGGAACCTGTACAAGAAGAGCGACGGGTATGTGGTGCGCCTGCTAGGTGCTGAGTTGGAATGTGTTAGTGTCTAAACTCCCCCAATTTCCCGATGTTCTCTTTCAGGATCAGAAAGGTGTGGCAGAAGAGGAAGTGTTCAGTTAAAAATGGCTTCCTGACCATATCCCACGGCACCGTGAGTATCTCCTTTAGTCCCCAGTCTCTGCTGTGGTGGTTGCTGAAGTAAGTCTGTTCTGTGCGAGCTGCTGTGGTGAAGATGCATTTGGAAGTTTCCCGTTAGGAAGCTTGTGCCCTCGTTTGTGGCGTGCCTGCAGCCTGGGTGTGCTCTTTTGGTCACATGTAACCTGATTACTGTAAGACCCCAGAAAGCTCAGGCCTCCAGGATCTCAGCCCAGGACTGCGGCCACCCCAATTACCAATCACCATGCGGAGGCAGAAACTTGATGCAAACTGCATGAGGCTTTCTTATAGTTGTTTAACAAGCTAACCCCATGTTAGCTCGGTTCTTTCATCCACCCACCATGGCGGATGGCTAGAAAAGATAGCTCGAAGAGTCTGAATAGAGATCTTATAGGGGAGTGTCTAGGGGTACGCACAGGCTCAGGATTGGTGTGCCTCCAGGCTTGGAGGGTTTGCCCTGTGTTGATTGGTCAACTGGTTGTTATGGCCCATAGGCCCTCCCATGGTGGTTGCTATGCTCTGTGTGTCTTTGCTGTGTGTTTGTCGTGTAAAATAAAGCACACCCAGAGCTGTAAAGCATAGCACCATCATCTAACTTCTGATTGGTTCCTTGCCACGAGGCAGGCATCTGACCTCCTAGTGACTAAGACAAGGTCAGACAAGCACATGTTCGGCTGTTATGGCTGCTGAAATGGGGAGCTGGTCCCTTCAGGTTGTCCTTTTGTTGAGTGCAGATGGTATCTTCCCTGGCTGCAGGTCTTTTACTGCGTGTGTATGTTGGACATGACCACAGGTGGTGGTGATGACGGGAGCCTTTGTCTCACCCTTCCTTCTCCCTATCCTATATATAGTCCCCGCCAGAGGCTGAGTTAGGCAGAAACACAGTTGGGCTTCTTAGTGCTTTTGAGTAACCAAGAAAGCTTCACCTGAAGGATGTCACGGGAGCAAAGATGATGCTGTGGGGATTTGGGGAAGGGATGGTCCCCTTCACTTTTGATGAGTCCATTAAAGGCAAGACACGGTCTCTGCCACCTCGGCCCCCGGGACTGAGCCATTCTCTGGGCTTGGGAGAGTAAAGGCCGTCTGCCTTTCCACAACCCAAACCGCACCTTACTCCTGAACCTCACTGTTTAGATCTAGATGCACTGTTTCCATACAGCAGGTGCATTAGCGTGAGGGGGCACGGCTGCTCTAGACCAAGGGAAGCAAGTATGTTTAACCATGCATCCTTTAGATGCAGAATGTCAGGCCAGGAGGACGGCTGGGTTTCTCCAACAAGCCTCACCCCTCTGGTGCTGTGTTTCATTTTCACATCATCTGCTAGTTTGCTTTAGCTCAGGCACACTGCCTCGATGCAGCAATCATTGTTGAGTAAGACCACGTTTTCCTTTCTTGTCATAAGGCATATTTGCTTTCTTGGGGGTCCCTGAGGTGCAGGGCCTCCACCTCAACCAGCAACTAAGTGGGGAGGGAACACGCAGGCCTGGTGATTCCTTACTGGCAGTGTAGTTGGTTTTGAGTGACTTCCAGTGTTCCAGCTTCCTCTCCAAAGGCATAATAAAAATTCTTTAAATTTTGATGGGCTGGCCCAGTTTTGGAGCAGACAGTAGTTATAATTATCTCCACCAGGTTGCTGCTGCTTCTCCTTACACAGTGTACATATTTTTTAAGAGCTGTGTGCTTTGAGGTGAACCCTCTCAAGGAACCTCCCCTCTCTGCCATTAGCAGCCACTTCCTGCTGTATCTCTTGGTGGGTCCCAGCTCAGCTTCCACCCAACTGCCTTGGCCTGGGTAGCTTGCTTTTTGGCATCCCTTCAGTTGCTAAGTTGTTTTAACCCCCTCTCACTGTGTGTTCTTCTGTGTGCCCTGGCAGTCAGGACCCTGAAGGGGCCTCCATGTTCCCCTGGGTCACCCAAGTGTTTGCCTGTTGTGGAGGCAAATGGTCCAGGCAAAGCGAAGCCTGGGAGATCCATTGTTTGAGGGTTTGGGTTTTTATCTCACTCCCGTAGCTTGCCCATCTGGCCAGAGCTTCTGGCTGTGCTTCATCACCACCATGAGAAAGGGACAGGGACAGGTCTCCAAAGGTGGGGAAGTGGGAATTCTAAGAGCAGCTGCTGTCCCATAGCTAGGAAGAGGGTCTGTGGTCTTGCACTACTGAGAAGACAGACCCTCTGGGAAGTAAAATAGCTGTATTCTTTATTCCCATGGAGGTGTACAGGTACCCTCTATGATGGGAACAGTGAGAGTTGGCACTGGTATTGTCACAGCTGGTTGTGTTTCTGGAATTGGGACAGTCGTTCTTGGAATTAGGTGCTCTGATTACGGGTCTTCATGACCAAGTTCACAGCACTGCCACTCCACCAAGGCCTGAGGGCCGCATTGTGCTGCAAGAATTACCTGCTGCCTCTTAGAGGGCCCAGCATTTTTGTATGTATGTATGTATGTATATATGTATGTATGTATGTATGTATGTATGTATGTATGTATGTATGTATGTATGTTATGTAGTCCATCTGTTTCTGCCTCCTGAATGCTGGGATTAAAAGTTTGCGTCTACTATTCCTGGCCAGCCCAACATTTTAAAAAGTGATTATTATTCACTTGGAAGAATGAGTACATATTTGTGTTTTTAAGGTGTTTTAAGGACTGGAGATACAGATTAGTAGTAAAGTGCTTGCCTTACATGAATGAGGCTCTAGGTTAAATCCTTGTGGCTTTAATCAATCAATCAATCAATCAATCAGTTGATCAATCCAATCAATTGATCAATGGCTTTTAAAAGCCTGGGACATTTAGTAGAAAGTAGAATGGCACAATTAAGTGGAAGAATCACTAATAACCTCTGCTCTCACACTGCAAACTCTAAGGTCTAAGGCTGGTAGGAGTTTCCCGATTGCTAACCTTTCCTGCTAAACCTGGGCTGCCTGGAGAAGGAGACTGCACTGCTCTCCAGCTACATTAAATAATGACTTTGTTTTTTAAAATGGTGGGGAGTGTGTGTGTGTGTGTGTGTGTGTGTGTGTGTGTGTGTGTTAGGAGACAGAACTTTCTCCCATAAGTTTCCCTCAAGTGCCACCGGACAGTGGTGGCGCACGCCTTTAATCCCAGAACTCGGGAAGCAGAGTCTCTGTGAGTTCGAGACCAGCCTAGTCTACAAGAGTTCCAGGACAGCCTCCAAAGCTACACAGAGAAACTCTGTCTTGAAA